ATAATGTGTGGTGCTTGGTGGGCCATATTGTGGGGTGTTTGGTGCCATAATGTACGGTGCTTGGTTGGCCATAATGTGGGGTGCTTGGTTGGCCATAATATGGGGTGCTTGGTTGGCCATAATGTGGGGTGCTTGGTGCCATAATGTGGGGTGCTTGGTGCCACAATATAGGGTGCTTGGTTGGCCATAATGTGGTGTGCTTGGTTGGCCATTGAGTGAGTGTGCGCGGTTGTTAGTTTCTAACAGATTACGTTGCTGCAACCAAGTCCTGGCACATGTGCAACGGTTGAGGAAACAATGCGGCCATCCTAACGGCTCCTACCGGGTGCCAGGGCAGCCTTGAATCTCTCGACTGATGTCAAGTCCACGGCGGCATTGTCCAGTTGGTTCCAAGCACTTATTGTTCGTGGGAAGAATGATTGTTTATATTGGACTGTATTACACCGAGGCACAGTGAAGCATTTATAATTGTTCGGGATGTAATTGCTCATGGAGTTGTCGGAGGTGAAGTCAGTGTTTATTGAGCATTTGGCTCTGATTAAGCGACCTGGCTTCTGCGTGGTCAGATACGTGTTAGCTGGGATGGCCGGCACTAGCCACTTGACCACTTCAAAGGTAAGCAGGACGTGTGTGCTACTGGGGTAGAACGTAATCTAACATTTGAATTCTAATATTTCTTGTTCAAAATAATTTGAAAATATATCATTGTCTATATATGTCATTGTCATATTCCATAAATATCTAAATGTTAATCCTTGATCCATTTGATACTTATAAAAATCGCTTATAAAACTAGAATTAGAATAGCCGAAGCATTTATGAGATATAGACACTATTTACTAAATTAGAAGTAAGGCCTGTTCATTAAATGTCGAGCACTTCTAATAGTATTTTCCATAGCATTCGAACGACGGGGTTTCGTCAAACTAATTTTGTTGATTATTCCACAATTTTTCACATCCCCAGCTTCCACTGCACACCTTTTGTTGGATCAAGCTAACCCTCCAGCATCCACTGCACACCTTTTGTTGGATCAAGCTATTAATAAAAGATCACCGCCAAATGACACCGGGGCAAGTTTCCAGCCATTATTCCAGTGTTTTTTCACATCTTTTATTTCATAGAGCGATATTTTCAGCTTTTGTTCCGTCCAAACAAAAGCCGCACCAGGGCCGTCCATAAATATACAAATATTGGATTGCTCCTGCACCACCGTAAAACGCGACATCCGGGCTACCAGGCATTAACGCCATACGTTTCATTAACTCTTTCGATGCCAGGGGACAATGGCAGCAGGGACAAGGCCCGCTGACATCAAAGGCTGCCCAGGTCATCACAAATGCTGATTCTCAGTGGAGCAACCATTGGCTTTTCCCATGCACGCTCTGTTAGTGATTTGCTGCAGTCCATTTTTATTGGATTTTTTTAAAGCTAAAATATAGGTTGCTCTGTGTGTTGTAAAACAACATACAAAGTTGTAATTGCATGGTCAATATATTTTTTTCTGACATATTGTGACGATATTGTACACTTCACATTGTACATGACAAAATCACAGGATCTTGGATTTATTCTCTAGCAGGCTAAGTTGTTGCAAAGACAGAAAAATCGTCTCTCT